ACCCCAAATCAAGAAATCTAACTGGGGCTTAGCAAGTGGAGGGGAAAGCAGGGACCAAAGCCCTGCAGGATCACTTTGATCCCTGCTTCCCCCTCCACTTATTTTGTTCTTTCCTCAGCTTACTTCCATGTATAAGACAACCCTCAATTTTTAGTCTAAAGATTTTAGACAAAAGTATAGTCTTATACATGGAAAAATACAGTAATTTTGTGGTTTAAAAAACTGGGGAAAAACTGTTGAACAAGGCAAAACATGTCATGATTAGTATTCAAAGGGAGAAATTGCTGGCCAAGGAGGGAAGCAGCTACTCATAGCCATTAAATCCTATCAATTTATATCTGGATGCAAGTCTTGTGCACTGTGAAGAATTTACTTTTGCAGTACATGTATTCACAAATTTTTATGTTGGCTTAGAGGTTGGAGGATTAGCATGTTTATATAGTCATGTGAAAAAGAAAGTACACCTTCTTTGAATTCTATAGTTTTACGTATCAGGACATAAGAAAAACCATCGAGTCCTTAGCAGGTCTGAAAATTAGGTAAATACAACCCCAGATCAACAACAGCACATGACACGTTACAAAATTAGGTAAATACAACCTCAGATCAACGACAGCACATGACACATTATAATGCATCATTATTTATTTTACAAAAATAAAGCCAAAATGGAGAAGCCATGTTTGAAAAACTAAGTACACCTTATGATTCAATGGCTTGTAGAACCACTTTTAGCAGCAGTAACTTTTCTGTATGAGTTATCAGTCTCTCACATGGTTATGGAGGAATTTTGGCCCACTCTTGTGGGAAACCTCTGCTTAAAGGTTGTAGATGCATTCTGTTCCAGTGATGTGCATACACTCCTGGCAGGAAGTGGCAGCTGCCAGCAGGTGGGGTAACCCCTTATTCTGCCCTTTCGGTTAGAGGTAGAGCATGATCAAAGCGTTATTTCAGCCAATCCTAGTTAAGAGTAGGTAACTAGTATCCTATCTGAATTCTAACAACATACTATATAATCATACTAAGTAAACAAAAGAGCTCTCAGGGTGTTGCCATAGGCTCCGCTGGTTCGGACATCTGTGCTGTCAATTCCTTTGTTCTAAGGCAATTAACCTTCCTTTGTTCCGTGATCACCCACATACTCTCCTTTATAATATTGCTTCCATTCATTGAGGTTTACAAACATTTGTTTATGCACAGCTCTCTTAACGTCCTGCCACAGCATTTCAGTCAGGTTGAGGTCTGGACTTCTATTGAGCCATTGCAACACCTTAATTCTTTTCTTTTTCATTCATTCTGTTGTAGATTTGCCGGTGTACTTGAGATCATTGTCCTGTTGCATGACCCAATTTCAGTCAAGCTTTAGCGATTGGACAGATGGCCTCACATTTGAGTCTAGAATACTTTGGTATACAGAGGAGTTAATGGTTGACTCAATGACTGCAACATGCCCAGGTCCCTGTGGCTGCCAAAAAACCCCAAACCATCAGCCCTCCACCACCATGCTCAATGGTTGGTATGAGTTATTTGTGCTGATATGTCTTTGGGTTTGTTTGTTTGTTTGTTTTGCCAAACATGGTGCTGTACATTGTGGCCAGACATTTCCACTTTGGTCTGCAAAGGACTCCAGAAATCCTGTGATTTGTCAAGATGCAGCTTTGCAAACCTACGCTGTGCTGTCATGTTCTTTTTTAGAGAGAAGAAGCTTTCTCCTGGCAATCCTTCCAAACAAACCATACTTGTTCAGTCTTTTTCTAATTGTACTGTCATGAACTTTAACATTTAACATGCTGAGGCTTGTAGTATGTATATGTGTATTTCATGACAGAGTTAACCAGACAGATTGGGCAGCTCTCTAAAGCGCTGTATTTTTCCAAAAGGTTTAAAGTATGAAACATAAAATACTTGTGTTGTTTGGAGCAACTGAATATGGCTCAACATGTTAAAAGGTGGAAGAAATAGTCAAACTATCATGTATTTCTTCTTGAGAATTTTCAAAATCTTTTCCTTCATATGCAGTATGTTTCCCTGTAACCTTAAATAAACATTGAATTACAGTCTGAGAGGTACACATTTTCCACATCATTTAACATTTCCTCTGTGCTCATGGAAAGAGTTGGTCTCTTTCAACTGATTAAGTGTACTGTACTGTACAGGAGCTCTGTCTGCAACAGGGATAACCAGATTTGAGTAGAAACATGCTGAATATACTTTGAATACAGTCTTGATCTCAGTTTCCTGATCCATCAAACAAAAAATAGGGCTTACTGCCCTTCAACAGGTTGAAGGATGACAAAATACAGACTGGCATTAGAACATTATGGCCTATCGTCAGTCTTTCCCTTCTACTCCATGTGCATTTATTCAGAAGCAACATTTCTACTCCACAGACAAACTTTTCTTGCAGGTCTTCTTCTGGAAAGCAAGGCTTAAATACAAGCACTAGAATCTCTATTTATGGAAGACTTAGTTTCTTGCCCAAATATACATTAGTAGAAGAAAGTGATCTTGTCCAAGGCTGTCTGGTTTCTTAAACCAAATCAAATTAATATCTATGGCAATAGACACAAAAGCTATTATATTTTTGTAATACATGATGGCTCTAGCTACTGTATAGCTACACCATGTTATCTCCCCCATTGAAGATAATGAGGGAACACCCCCTTCCCCTTGCAGCCTTTTTATTATAACTGTTATCCACTGTGGTGGTTGCAATTCTACCACCAATCCTGCTGCCTACCAAAAAACCTGAAGTCTCCACTTGTGCCTCTATCCAAGGGAACACAGTAGAGTGGCAAGCATGGGGTGAAAACTGTGCTTTTCTATTATTGTTTTCTCCAAGCCACTGATTTTTAACAGAGGTCAGATAATACACATGTACTGATTTACTCATGTAAAACATTTGGGAAAGTTCAAGTTTTTCTTCCTCCTCCTCCTCCTTAAAAAACAACTTTACTGACATTCTCACTTATCCCTTCTCCACACACAGACCCCATCCTCTCCCAACCAGTCCATGGTGACAAAAAGGTTGGGGACCACTGCTCTAGAGCACCACACCAACATGCTATGGGGTGCAGATTTAAGAGTGCATCAATTTGATCAAGTTCTGAATGAGGGTGGTGATTTGTGATTTCTTTGCTTTGGGGAGTCAAGTTCCAAACTTAGGTTTTGTCATACTAGAATGTTACATGCACATGCACATGCACACAAAGACACATTTTTGGGGGAATGCATTTTTTAAAATGCAGCATGAAAATACTGAGAGTCAAAATAAACTCTAAATAGTAAATACTACAACAAGTAGTATTTTAAGCTTAAGCTTTATAGCTAGGTCACAAAAGTGGAATTTGCTGTTGAGTGATCTCAAAAGATGAAAGCAAAGGACCACATTGACAAGGTGGCATGTATTCATAACCTCTACAGTAGTTCACAAGCTGTATAAGGAATACAGCTATAGACAGATAGCAGTTTACACACAACTTTGCTTACATAGATGGCTAAGATAAAATGCACAGTAGACAGTATTAGCAACAGAGCAGTTGCAGTTCATTCTGTACTCACTGAGACATACTCCACATTTCATGGCATTGCAACACAAGCACTCACTGTCCCTTAACTCTTGAAGGGTGGCATGTGGGGAGAAAACGTCATAGCACTTGCACTGCCAAATATCAAATTACAAAAAACTCAGAAAAGGGATTAAGAGTGTTAGTTCCATGCTCATTAAGAATGTGCTGTACCAAGAAGAGAACAGGCCGCTATCCTTTTGGAACATACTGGTTCTATAGTCATCTTACCTGTTTTTTGATCTTGCAACTATAACTAACCTGGTTTGAAGGAAAATCTCAAAACCATTTCCCATTCATGCAAATCTACATTAATGGGGTTCTCTGGTTCACTGATCTATTCCTTTATTAATAGCACCCTGCCACCCATGTGCCCACCTTTGCCAATGCTAACATGGTCTGACCATATTTATTTAAAAAATAATGCTATTGTGGCAGATAAGAGTATAATTTCTAGGTTAAGGAAGAATCTAACATTTTTAACTCTACAGTTTTAGCTTGGTTCTTACCCTGACTATCAAAGCAGTTAAAGAAAAAATGTAACATCAATATGAATGGCTACCATTTAGGAAATTATACCCTTTATTTCTGTCTTATTCCTTGTGTGTGGCAATTTTTGTCATTAAAGAACTAAGGATAGAAGGGGCTCAAAGGTTACAGCTAATCCGTCCCCCACAATGAAACGGGTTATCCAAAACTCCAATAAACTGTAAATTCTATACAGATCACTGGGGCTAATTTTGTCATGAATATAAGGGCAGAAATGTTGTATGACTAAGATGTATGCAGGCTGAATAAGAAGTTTAGCTACATTCCCTCTGGTGAGTAATTGGGTGTTTATGTAACCAGATCCAACCAATAGAGGGTCCAGACCTCCTTAAAGCACCATCTCAACTGGACAAAAGTTTTTGCTACTTCCTTGTTGTGATTGTGGAAACTTTCTTAATCCTAGTCACCACTTTTGGGAATAGAGGAGAATGCGAAAACTTGCTAGCTAGAAGCAAGAACTCATTGCCTGTAAAATCTCAATGGCGCACCATTGCTACACTAAAAAATTCAGTATTATGCACTTTCTGTTTTTTGCGCATGCCCAATTGGTTTGTTATAAACATTTTGGTTCTGCACTGTTGAATTCAATTTATACTCTTCTGTTTTATTTCTGCAGGAAACCAGGAGTCCAACATGTCCCAGTGAGGAATCTGATGGAATCCCCCCCCAAAAGAACCCTTCAATCCCTTTAGTATCAACAAGACCTGTTCACCCCAAATCAGATTCAAATGACAATGTAGCAACATGTTCTTCACCAATAAATATTAGTGCTGGTACAGTCCATGGCTATCAGAGAGCACCCAGTTGCCCCTGGAAAAATTGCAGCTATAGTTAGTTCACAATAAGAACCTTCTTACCTCCTACACAAAGTTCAGAATTCAGGAGTACACCAGCAAACACCCTTTTATTACATTTGTTCAGTTATCCAGACTATGTAAGACTTAACATTTCAGTGAACAAAAAGATCAATACGAAAAGTCATGTTTTGAAAGTAGGTCAAGTTCAACTGGGAAAACAAAGGGTTTTTCCTTTTTGTCAGTGAAATTATACATAATTGGTTCTCAAAAAAAAATTCCCTTCAGGTTCTCTCGATTGCACTTCTTATCACCAGAATTACCATGAAGGACGCTACAATACAAAAATTACAAGAGGGGCAAAATTTACTAGTACAAAACCAGACAAAAACTGTACGTCTAGGTACATCTTGCAAAACTGGGCCACATTAGCACAGGAACTACCTCTAGTCAGTTCACGAGATAGGTACAAAATGAACTTGAACAACTTCAAATACCTACCGCATCCATATTTGGGGAGAGGCTTGTTCTATGTACCAGCTCAGCATTTGCTTTTAGGGTTGTCTGTTAGTGTCTAGTTAGAGCCATAGTATTCCTTATTACTAATTAGTAAATAGCTCCTAATTTTAAACATCAGCCATTCAGTGACTAAAGAGCACTAAAATGCACAAATTAAAGAATAAGCTTCACATGACCTCTCTCATATTGACCATCATGGAGCAGAGTTCCTTTACTGATTTTATATGCTAAAAAATTACTTCATTTGTTGAGCTCTTAGAGATTCATTTACAGGACTTTCCCCCCTGCTAATGAAAGTATCCATTATTTCATAGAACATTAGTGTCACTGTAGTAACAAGGCAAAGGCAGACTTGTTTTGCCATTCAAGTATCATTATGAAAGGAAGCCAAGGTCTGTCCATTGTGCTTTAACCAGCAGCATTTTTGAGATCTCATGGGGGAGAGATGGCAAGAGAAGGGCTAGCCTCTTAGCTTATTTTCACTTAAAAAAGAAAAAGCAGCAGCAGCTTTATTTCAAAACAAATTCCCCAAAAATCCATATATTAAATTAATGCAACATTAATTTAGGGTAACATATAAAGGGGAAATCCATAGCTGATTTAGGATTACAATGTGAATTCCTATGACAATTGTAACTGTAGAGATGTCCATGACATGGACACCATTTGTTTTTGAAGGCAAGTGATAAGTAAGACAGCCAGTGTCCTTGGATGGGAGGCTTCTGTGAGATGTTGGCAGTAGCCTTTTCTCATTTAGTAACTGTGTCGACTGCAGCTGCCTGCAAACATCCCCACTGTATTAAGTTCAACTTGAACTCTAGAAGTAACAAGACAGACCTAGAGAATTATATGACAGGCTCTGCCTTTTACAACGGGGATCCAGGATGCAAGGCAAGAGCAGAAAGCAGCTCACTAGTAGAAGAATAAGGCAATGAGCACACAGCTTTGGTAGATGAACTATTTTCTACTTGTTTTAGCCTGCACTTCATTTGGGTAGAAAACACCAAAGTTAAGCATTAAACTTTCTGACCTAATGGGATAAAAATGAACTGAAGAGGTATTTAGTATCAACAAGTTGTATAAAACTTGCAGGCTGTTTTAAGGTAATGCACCTTTACTTTGAGATACAGGCAGCTAGATCCAAGACCTCTAAGGGCTGTTGCAATAGTATACTGTGCAAGTTATGCAGTTTGTTCTCATGCTTCAATTGCATCCCTCCATTCATTTTGTTCCTATTGTCCTAACTGATGAATAAATCAGAAGGACATGAATATTATATTCACAGCTCAAGGCAGTTCAGCAGAAGACACCAAACTGCTTTTCAGACTGTACATATGTACTCCAGAAAAAGTGTTCATGATGCTCTGAGCAGGACAAGTTCTCCAGAACTGGAGCCACCAGATTCCCTTTTGCACATGTTCAAACCTCCCCAATCTTCTTCTTTCTAAGATGACACAAACATTTACAATACACTTAAGTGGAGGTTCCCTTGCAGAAGGAGTACTGCTTGTAATGTTAGTTGTAAACACCTTCCTCAAAAGAGATGAGGTGGTGCCTTTTTCAACAGGAGTCTCACACAAAAGAAAACAACGAAAATTACAAAACTAGGGAGGGTTAAACTTGCAAGTTAAGAAAAAATAACCCTCTTAGCCCTTAGAACATTACTGAAGTTCATAGTTTTTTCTCTCGTAGTCCATTCCCACTGTGCTCATCTGCAGGTACAGAATGTCCATCACCGTTGATTAAACACCTGTCCTTTTCCTTTCCGTATTTATGTTCTTGCTTTTGCCTTCTTATCTCTTTATACCGTAAAGTGATATCACTAGGAATAAAGCAGAAACATACTTATTTAAAAACCAGAAGTCAAAGCAGCTTTAATTTACAAAGGGACCACCTTTTCTTTTCCTCTAGCACTCCTCTAATAAACCAAGTCAGGTTGGCTATAACTAAATACTAATGTATCTCCCAGTTCCAAGGTGACAGCCTAAAAGCTACCATGACAGCCTTATAAATGCCCAGGAGATGGGAGACAGCCTCCTCCTACTCAACAGACTTCGTTGAACCTTCTCCACAAACCAAGGAAGGAACTGCTATCCCATACAGTGGTGCCCCGCATAACGAGCAATTCGTTTAACGATATTTCCACATAGCGATGTGTTTTTTGCGATTGCAAAAGCGATCGCATTGTGATGTTTCTAATGGTAAAACATCGCTTTGTGATGATCGGTAAGAGTTTCGCTTACCGATTTTTGCATAGCGATGGTTTTTTAACAGCTGATCGGCGGTTCCAAAATGGCCGCCGGGTAAAGAAAATGGCCGCCCGCTGTGTTTTTGCGCCCTTTCCTCGCTTACCGGGCAGCAAAAATGGCGGCCACATGGAGGATTTCCGCATAACGGTGATTTTTTGCCCATAGGAACACATTAAACGTGTTTTAATGCATTCCTATGGGCTTTTTTTTCGGAACGGATTATCGTCGCTATGCAGGGTACCACTGTATTTCATATGCCCCCCAGAAAGGAGACACTGTATCTTCTATCAAAAACACTCAGTTTCTTTGCTGTGTAAACTGTAGCTGCTGCCTTTCTCCTAGAGTTAAAAGCTTTTAAGCAGTGCAGAGCAAAAAAAAAATCAGTGTGCAGATAGATTTTTTAAAAAGAGTGCAAAACAATCAAGAGTCGATCAGTTGACTCCATATATCTCTCTGTCTTCCATCACGAACACAGTGGGCTAGTTGGTACTCAATCTAGCATTCTATCCCACTGAGGAAATAAGTGCAGAAAGAAAAACAGCAGCAAGTTGTCATGCATTTAGCCAGCAGAATCCAGTGGAGTGGAATTTTGCTTCTCTCCTCCTCCCTCTTGGGGGAGCACAAACATACATATTATGAGTCCAGAGGACTGGGCTGTATCCTTCCAAATGGAATTCTGTACTACAGAGGTCAATTCAGGAGGTACCACATGGGACCCTCTATCATTTGCCTCTTCTGCCATTGGTAAGGGAGCAAAGCATTCTGCAGGCCATTATTTATTACTGTTTTGCCCTGCTTTCCAGAAGGCAATGGAAGAGCAGCATACTTCTTTGCTTCCTCCAAAATTTAATGACACGCAGAAAACTGAAGACATCTGTACTCTTAGGAGATAGATCAAATTCATGGCAGCCGATTAAACAAGTACAGTGGTGCCTCGCAAGACGATGTTAAATCGCTGTCTTGTGAAAACACCGTCTTGCGAAACGCTGTTCCCCACTGGAATGCATTGAAATCCATTTAATGCATTCCAATGGGTAAAATCGTTATCTTGTGAAAATCGCCCATAGAGAAACCGTTTTGCGAAGCACGGACCCAACTGTCAAAATCGCTGTCTTGTGAAAAACCGTCCCTTAAAAAACCATTTTGCGAAGCGTGGACTTAGCTGTCAAAATTATCATCTTGTGAAAAACGGTCCCGGGAAAAAATCGTTTTGTGAAGCATGGACCGAAACATCGTCTATCGAAAATCGCCCATAGGGAAAACCGTTTTGCGAAGCACTATAGCGATCGCAAATATCCATCGTCTTGCGAATTAACCATTTTGCAAGGTAATCATCTAGCGAGGCACCACTGTAGTTGTTTTGAATTGTTTATCAAAGGGCTTGTTACAATTGGTCAAAAACTTAATCTAAATGCTATAACCATTATGCAAAAGCATGCTTCTACCAACTGCAGTCTTCCTGCTTTGAAAGTTCCTTTTACATACCGTAGCCTTAGATTACTACAGCCAAAATCCAAATGCTCACATTTTTCATGATTTCTACAATATGTCATCCTGGTAACTTTCAATTCTAACAAAATAAGGCTGTTTGAATTCAGAACTAAAACCAAATGAACCAGTCAAGAATCCAGTTTTTGCTTACCGGATAAAGAAGCGCCACACTGTCCATGTAAGCACAAGAATGATTCCCAGGATCCAGCACTGAGTAATGTAGAAAGGAAGTGACAATGTTAGAGTGTAGGGATCATATTTTACTACAATAAGGAACTCTGTAGCTGTAATAGCAGCAACCAGCCATGCCTGCTGACCCAACTTCTTATGGAACTTCCTGCAATAAAAACAACAGTATTAATATATAGGTACACACATTTTTTTTTCAAAATCACATTTGCAAAGCAATTACACAATATGCATTATTTTTAAGAGTTGCACAAATCACGCTGAATTACTGTGGGAAATACAATTCATAACACACAATCCAATGATATCAGAGTATTACTTTCAGCATTGTTCAACACTTTGATGGCAACAGCTCCAAAAGCATTTGACTTTAAACATTATCTCCACAGTGTTCAAGAACTTTAGTGGACTTTGTTTGAAAAAAAAATTGCAAGGATTTCAATGAGACACTATGTAGTAGTAATAGGAGATTTAAATTACCATGATACATTTTGGGGCACAAATTCTACCAAGCATGGGCCTTCCAAGAAATTTCTGGCTTGTGAGGCTAATAAACTTCTCCTAAAAAGGTGGAGGGAGAACCTAGAAGATTAGCTATCCTGGACTTGATCTTAATTAATAGATATGACTTGGCGGAGGAAGTGGCAAGTAAAGAGAACTCTGGCGGAAAGTGACCTTGTTATACTTCAGTTCTTGATTCCAAAGGCAGCAAAAGTGGAATGTAACCACATGTGTATGCTGGATTTTAGGAAAGTCATTTTTAATAAACTCAGGACAATGACAAGTAAGATCCCATGGCAGGAAAGCCTAAAAAGAAAAGAAGTCTAAGAAGAGTGACAGTTTCTTAAAAATGAAATTCTAAAGACAAACTGTACAATTTTTAAAAAAGGTGGAAGACAGCAGAAAAGACCAATGTGACTTCACAAAAAATTCAGAGAGGATCTGAAAACTAAAAAGGACATATATAGCAAGCAGAGGAAAGGCCAGGCCACAAAGGAAGAGTACAGACAAGCAACAAAGAATTGCAGGGATAGCGTTAGGAAGGCAAATGCAGAGAATGAGCTGAGGTTAGCAAGAGACATTAAAACAACAAAACAGCATTCTTCAGGTAGGTGTGTAGCAAAAGATAGGGAAAAAGACATAGCTACTCAGTGGGGATGGAAAAATTGTAACAGTTGACAAAGGAAAGAAGAACTCAGTTCTTAGTTTAGTTCAGTTTTTTCCCCAAAAGACAGTCTGTGACTCTCCAGGTAAATGTGAAATACAAGTGGAGGGAACAGCATTTTAGTTTGACAAATAAAGAGCCAAGGAATACCTTATGTGGCATCTGCCCAGGTAATGAATATTAATGTGCTATCTGCATGTACCAATGAGAGTGCTGGAGAGGCAGAGTCACAAGATATATGAGTCTCTGGAGGAGGAGGAGACAGCAAGATAGTGAATTGGGATTTTGGGGAGAGACTATTAGATTGCTAAGCAAGGGCTGATGTGTAGTGAACCGATGAAGACCATTAAGGACTGTTTAGTTCAGAACAAAAGATGTTGGTTTAACCTTTATTCTTTGTTACACCTTATTACAGCAGGACCCCTGTATCCGCAGGAGATTGGTTCCAAGCCCCACTCTGTGGATACTGAAAACTGCAGATAGCAAATCCTATGTACTATTCCTATAAAGATAATAGCTGAGGTTGGCTAGCAACAACAACGCTCTGCAAAGTAGAGGGAGTCACTTCAAGATGCCAGGAGACTAGGCAAAATAGCTATACAGTTGCGAGCTACTTATATAACATAGCTTCTGGTTCCCTCTAGTGGCACGTTCTGTAACTACATTGTATAAACATGAATTTGTTTTTTTAATTTAATACTTTCAATATTTTCAGACCATTGATAAATGAAACCATGGATACTGATCCCACAGATATGTGGGCCCTATTGTGCTCTGGAGGAATTCAAATCTCCAGGGTCCAGTGAAGTGCATCCTAGAGTATTGAAGGAACTGGCTGAGAAACTCTGAGGACCACTATCTTGAAATCAAGGAGGATGGGTGGTGTGCCTGATGACTAGAGGTGGGCTAATGTTGCCCCTATTTTCAAGAAGAGAAAAATGAGGAGTCCGTCACTCGACCCATTATACCACACTGGGTATCCTAATGTCACACCCCTCCTGTAACATCTTTATTGCCAATTAATTTAACGAAGAATATGGTAAGTATGACATAAGAGGTTATTATTCTAATTTTGATCATTCAAGGTAGGGAAAAATATATAACCATTTTGTATCACTCACCTACACAAGCAAACAGTCTACAAATACACAACTTTCATGTGCAATTCTACCTTGCTTACAAGTCACAATTGTATTATACAATTCTGAATTGGAAAAAAAACTATATTTCTTTAAGAATCTCTTCTTTGAACATTTACTTGTACAATGGGAAATATATTATTTTAAATATTCCCTTCTTGGAAAAGTCTACAGAACAGAATTTTAGAACCAATAGTGACGGCTACAGCTTGAAACATAATAATAGAACACCTTATTCTCTTAATTAGTATTAAGAGTTTTATCAAATGGGATGGAAATGGAAACTCCCAGTCCTTCCTGAAATAACCTCTCTCCCATGACTGCTAGTCCTTCAAACAGAGCAAGAGTAGAGAAAGACTGGTTCTTCCAAACCTTGCTTTAGACCAAACTGTCTCAAAGTGGGGAGGAATCCTTCTCCCACTTCAACTCAGCAATTATGTTCAGGGCAGAGAAGAAACAGTATTCTACAGCATTTCCTTCTGCTTAAACCTACTTCTCAAGTTGAAGGAAAACATCAGAGACAGCATCACTTTTCCTCTACCTTTGAACTACTTTTGAGAAAGGAAGAAGAGGGCACTGTCTTGTCCCCACCCCAAGCTGGAGTCCATGCTGATGATGGACAAGCAAGCCGGGGCTGTGAGCAGCACTGTTTTTTACGCTTTGGGAATGAACCTCATTAATCTATACTGGAGAAAAATAAAAACATCCATAGAGGAGTCCATTGGGGTAAAAACCTCTCCACTCATGGCAATATTAGTATTGGGTGTAAGAAGCAGAATATTTTTTATCTAATCAGCTCTGCTTTATACAGTACAGGATTAATTTTGTCCCACAGAGGTCAGTGGAAACCAGCTGAGAATGACAAACACCATCTGGTTTCTGTCTGTCTGTCTGCATGCATGCATAAATGATAAAGGGTCCCAGAATTCTCTGTAGAATGTTGTTTGTCTAGCAAAACAATGCTTTTTGTATAGTTGGCAACTAATATCCATTTGCATGTCTTTTTCTAAAGAGTGGGAAGAGAAGCATGCCACGGCTTAGTGCCAGAGCACATACTGTGCCTATCTATGGTCCCAGATTCAATGTGGTGTCTAATTGAAAGGATCTTAGATGACAAGCCTGAGGGGTGGGGCAGGGACCGTCTGAAGTCTTGGCGAACTGCTCCCACTCAGATTAGAAAATTCTGAGCTCTACATCTATTTTAGAATAAGGTTAACTTATATGTAATTGTGGTAATGCAATAAAACAGAAGGACAAAAGTGGAAGGCATGCAAAATACCTTTTAAGGCAAGTCCTCCCTGCACCTCAACAAACCATTCTTCAGAATTCGAACAGCAATGTGTCACAAACAGAATAAGAACAACGGCTGGCCTACTTTGATCTAAGCAACAAAGGAGATAGCTCCAAATGGCTTGAGACAGGTAAGTCATATACTTCAAAACATTGAAAGCCTTGAAGATCACTTTTTAAATCAGCTTTGGGGAGAAACATTCTTTCCCCAGGCAAAACTAGGGGAGTCAGATGGAATCCAGATGTGGGACACTCACATTTACTCTTCCAAATCCAAATATATTATCCAGGGCAAACTCATACCACTGCATAATATGCTCATTCACTGTATTCAATGCTCCAAGAGAGGGAGACACTTCCAAATCTTAGATAATCTCTTTGCCTAATGGCACAAATTTTAGCTCTGCAACCTTACATGAGCTGTGATTTGATTATTTCTCAAACTCTAAATAAAATAGTTTGGCTGGCTCTCACACCACAAAAAGTCACAGTGGAAATGTACTATGTTTAGCACTTGAACTAGGAGGATTTGTTCATTATACCTTTAGATTTTATCTTGTTATCTTGATTTGTCCTCAGCCCACTACATGTTTTTCAGAAGAAGCAGACATGACCAAACCATACAAAACTCTATCAGGCCATCAGGAAACAATCTCAGAACTGTACAGCTGGAAGGGAACCAATGGATCCTTAAATCCAGCCCCTATTGGTCCAAATCTTTCCCTAGAAAACTTGCCAGGACTTCCAAAAGTGTTTCTGAGAGAACAACAGAGCAGACAGCTTCAATGCTCTCTCTGCACAGGAATCCATCAGTTACTTAGCTAGGTTAAATTTACTTAGCTTTCTGAACAAAGAAAAGCCAACAAACAAACAACCCCCCCAAACCCATCGGAAATGTGGGGAAAACCCCCAAAAAGCAACCAAACCCCCCAGGACCCATCAGAAACGGAAGCGAAGCCAACAAACAAAAAAAAAAACCCCCCAAGACCCATCAGAAATGGAAGCGAAGCCAACAAAGAAAAAAGCCCCCAAGACTTATCGGAAATGGGGAGGAAAACCCAAAATGCAACCAAATCCCCCAAGACCCATCAGAAATGTGGGGAACAAAAAAAAAAAACAATCCCCCAAGACCCATCACAGCACAGAAACATAACCCCCCCCAGCCTGAAACCACACTGGAAAAACACCAGAACAGTTTTTTAAAAGCAGAAAACTTTCTTATCTTGAAGCAGAAAGGACATCCCAAACCAGTAGGTCCAACACAAGGGGCTAGGGGATGGCCTGTCACTGCTGAATGTCCTGAAATCCAACTAATCACACTTGGCCCTTCTTCCCAGCTTTAGAGTCAAAGACTTGCAGGTGAAACTGATCTTAAAGTACAGTGGTGCCTCACATCACGATGTTAATTCGTTCCAGCGAAATCGCTGTAGAATGAAAACGTTGTGATGGGATTTTAAAAGCCCATAGAAACGCATTAAAACCAGATTAATGCGTTCCTAGGGGTTTCAAACTCACCGTCCAGCGAAGATCCTCCATAGCACGGCCATTTTCGCTGCCTGTGCAGCGAGGAATCTGTGCGAAAACACAGCGGGCGGCCATTTTGTTTACCCGGCGGCCATTTTGAAACCGCAGATCAGTTGTTAAAAAATCATCGCTTTGCGATGATTGGTTCCCGAAGCAGGGAACCAATCATTGCAAAGCAAAATTCCCCCATAGGGAACATCGTTTTGCGATCCCTTTTGCGATCGCAAAAAGTTCATCGTGATGCAATTTCGTCATCAAACAGAGCGCCCGTCTTGCGGGGCACCACTGTATTAGAATTCTAGATACTGAAAGAAGACACTTTTGGTGTTGGTCAATGAAGAGAAAACAAGCTTAAAGTTATGGGTCAGCTAGGATGTTCCACTTTCACTAAGGGAAAACACAAACATAAACAAAACCTGGAATCTGGGTCCTAGCGATTACCAGAAAATGAAGCAAAATGAAAATAATGTAATCAGGCCACTGTTTAGTGTATGCATTGCCATGTGAAGGCAAATGGCCGTAAAATATTAACAACTGAACAGGAAGATGGTGTCAAAAACATTAACAAAATCTGTTGGGAAGAAAAGGATTTTGAAGGGTTTTAAGAGCCAGATCCTTCAGACATAACTTTGTTTTCACAAAGCTCTAGCATTAAGTCCTATTTCAAGTTAAACCAAGGCTGCTCTGTGCAGCAGCTAACTGCATTCGAACTATTCTGAATTATAAGCAGCTTGTTATGTACTTCTGCATCTTTGAAAATGGCATGAGGCAATCCAAAGCACATGTACTTTGTAAACTATTGTATAGTTAGTCTGAATTATTTTTTTAAGTGGGCTACAGGGTTTCTCTATACTAGCAGACAGGTCCACCCATAGCCCTGCAATTTTTTGTCACCACATTATTAAAATAAAGACATAAACTTATTTTGCATAAGAGGAAAAACTTACGGATCATCCATGAAATCATAAATTTCTCTCATGGCTACACCTCCGACATTCACATAAAATACAAGTCTCAACAGGACCAAGTAGTGTTCTGGAGGCATCCACAGGACAAATTTCAAGTAAAAAGTATTCAATTCTGCCAATAAAAACTGAAACACACATACCATCCAATTACATTTTAGGAGACTCCAGTTACTAAACTCTACATTGTATCACAATTAAAATAGTTCACAAGGATAGGTTTCCACATTAGTGGGTTTTTTAAATTCTACAAAACATTGTCAGCAATTCGTAAGATATGCCCCTTTCTTCCTTTGGCGTTCTCCAGTCTTCCTACAGTATAATGCAATTTAAGTTCAGTATAACAGAAATAGATTGTTTAACATCTATAATTTTTTACCCTAAAATTATGAAGCAAAAAACCCACACAGGAAGTCAAGTAGTCTTAGAAACAGTACACGAGGGCAGCAGGTAACTCTGCTTTGTCAAACCTTTGTTTAAAAATTAAGAAGGCACAAACCATTTTGGAAGTTATAGTTGCTATAAATGAAGACAAAAGAGATCCTTACTATAAAAATAATTCCGCACACTGCTAGCCATCTGCGAAGGCTGGATGCTGGCTTCCACTCAAATTTAACCCAGCTATATGGTGTGAATTGGAAAGCAATTCTCTTCATTTTACCTCTGGGAGAAAATTACATATCTCATGTTACTGTGACATAAAGTTAGTACACATTTAAGTGTGCTTTCTACTTGAACATCTATTCAAAGAGACAATGGCTCAGAAATATTGGGAATAATTTTAAGAATTTGATTAACATGAGTCAAATACTAAGCCCTGAATTTAGGAAGTTTACATTAATGTACCACCTATGAAATTATGCATAAAACACAGCTATGAATGTGGTTATTTGCATATTCAGAACACACTTCCTACATACTAACTAGACCAGTACATCATAATTTTGAAAGGAATATTTGATATAGCAACTAATGCCATTGTCAAGAAAGCTGTACAGGTTTGTTTGGAAATGATTCTGACTAAAATGGATAATCAGCTGTAGAAGAATGTTTACATTTTTGGTACACATTTATATAACTAATTTGAGAATAGTGATAAATATTGCAGTTAAGATTGCAGGATGTATTCATTTTTCTATAAAAAATAAATTTGGCTATTGTACATTTCTACATAAAAAAGTAAAACCTATTCTCCCGTTTTACATGACTGTTAGAGTAGAAAGAAATCATACATAAGTGTAGTGATAGGGCTTCTGGAATCTTGTTCTTGGGAGCAATATTACTTCCAATATAGGTATCTTTATGTTAGATAAGCAACGTGGATGGTATAAAACTTTTCATTTGAACTTCACATTTGAACTGACTTCTCAAGCTTTAACATGTCATGGCAACTGCTTATTAGCAAGGCAGACTTCATTGTTTCTTTGAATTGTTTGGTTTTATAATATGAGATGTATTTATACAAACTTGGAAGTAACAATTTTGTTTACATGAAATATTTTTCATGTCCAGGTCACTTTTGGTAGCCTCAACAGTGAAAGTGGCAAATCAGCTACCACCTGTTCTTCATCTTATATACAAGCAAGCAAGCTCACATAATTTTATCAGTGTAATAACGTACAGTGGTGCCCCGCATGACGACGATAATCCGTCCCATTGAAATCGCTGTTCAGCAAAATCGTCGTCATGCGAAATCCGTTTCCCCATTGGAATGCATTGAAACCTGGTTTAATGTGTTCCAATGGGGAAAATACCTCGTCGTCCAGCGAAGATCGCCCATAGGGAAGCCCTTTTGCGAGCCCCGATCAGCTGTAAAAATGGCTGCCCTGCGAAGCATGGGTCTGGAAAACACAAGGCAGCCATTTTGCGAAGCCGACAATCAGCTGTAAAAATTGTCGCGAACGAATGGTTCGCGAAGCACGGACCTAATCAATGTCCAGCGAAAATCCCCCATTGGAATGACTGTGAATCGCTATAGTGATTGCAAAAAGTCATCGTTATGCGGATTCATTATTTATTTATTTATTCCATTTATACTCCGCCTATCTGGTCATTCTGACCACTTCATCGTTTAGCGGGGTCGTCGACTTGCGAGGTACCACTGTATTTGACATGTTCACATTGCTAATGGCAGGTTAATTTCTCACGACTCCGCCTATCTGGTCATTTTGACCACTTCATTGTTTAGCGGGGTCGTCAACTTGCGAGGTACCACTGTATTTGGCATGTTCACATTGCTAATGCCAGGTTAATTTCTCACATTTAGAATGCCGCCATTAATAATTTGGCTATTTGTCCTGCCAATTATAAATATTAGTATATATGGAATTGGAAACTCTGAGATTTCAATATTTCTATTTCATATATGAAAATTCACCATTTAACATACTTATATGTGGGAATATTCCAAAGTCCTTGCCATTTATATGTCTTCAAGGACAGCCAACTCAAAGTCTTCATTCCACAGTAAATGCCAAGTCCATTGCATAAGATTACATCCATAATCCACTAAAAAAAGAGGAAGAAGAAGAAGAATCACCCTAGTTTAAACTCTTGTTCCAGTCTCTATAGCAATGGTTCCCAACCCTGGATAATCCAGGTGTCTGGGCCAGCACAGCTGGTGGTGAAGGCTTCTGGGAGTTGCAGTCCAAGAACACCCAGGTTAGCCAAGGTTGGGAACCACTGCTCTATAGCATAGCAACAGTAGCAGTATGGATTTCTATGCACATGTGCTTTCATAATGAATGAGATACTTTTTAACTCATTAGATATTCCCATGTACAGTTCTGAAGTGTGTACATAATGCATGCTACAATCAAAATCAAAAGATCAGTTATATACCCACTGCTTAGACAGGAAATAATATTTCTCAATTCATAAAAACAAGAATTGATTTCATATACAGAACCAGTGTTTCATTTTCTTACTGCCAAATATGGAGATCATCCTACCACACCTTTTTGTTAGCTTCTAGAATAACTTGCATTGCAATGAACTTTGCTGTATCATTTAAGAGTTTCTCTGATGTTCACTTGTCATTTCCTATACTTAGCAAGAAAGCATGTTCTGAATTTTAAGTTGTGATGTTTGTGACTATCAGACATTCTGTAGAGATACATTATCTATTCTCTCTCTACTTGCAAATTTTCACTTTCTCTGTGACTCTTCCCTTGCTGGTTTTCTCCACTGCCGTGTATCCTCTGTTCATGTCTCAGGATAAACCATTAAAAAGAGAGATGAAATCTTCTGTTTAAATATTAGGAATGAATTCATTAAACAGAATATTTCATCTCTCTTTTTTTAATGAAGATAGCACTTTCTTACTTGCTACTTGATCCATCCAGCCCTCTAATATGATTGTGAGATCAAAAAACCTTTGAGCAGTCTCATTTTGTTGCAGCTCTTCTTAATTGTGGTTTAATGGAAATGGCTGTTTTCAGACCTTGTTTTGCATCTTATTTCTTTAGAAGAAAGTACTCACATGGTCCCACCAACATTCACTGAAGTTTGGAAGCTGATGTTCCAGACTGTACTCCAGAAATTCAAACATTACACTGATAATCATACACATCCACCAATCACGAATCATTAGTGTCTAAAGAAAATTTGGGAGAAAAAAGGGGGGAAGGAAAAGTGAATTAGAACATTATCCCAAATCTTGATTACTCAGTAATGAAAACTTCTGAAGAAAGCATTATGCAACACACACCTCAAAAAAGTACAGAACAGTCTGACTGGAGTTTTACTCCCGAGGTTACAGTAGTGTCCTTTGACAAGCGGGCAAAGACCTTCCTCTTCATGCAGGCTTTCCCTTAGTGACTGGCTGTATGAGAATTTTTTTAATGAATTGTTGTGCCTTGCATGTTGTATCTCATTGCTTTCAGATGTGTTTTTAGTATTGATTTTATTTACCATTTTAAATATTTAATTCTTTTAAGAAAATATTTGTATTCTTACAGTTTTTAGCTTTTAAATATTGTCTTTTTAGTAATGTAAGCTGCCTTGGGTCCTTTTTATTTCCCATTTAGTAGGCAGCCAGGCAGACAGACAGACAGGAGATAATGTTACAGGCTTGCAGCCATACCAGCTTACATTAGGAGAAGATGAATTTTTCTTGCTTTGCTTTCTGTATCACTCACCTTATTACAAGTGGAACATTTTTCTGTCTGATTCTCACATCAGCTTCCATTATTCTATGCACTTTACCTAACATCCAGATCTCTGTGCTCCTTTGAAGAGGACTATTTTGAGACCTGCAGAACAGCAGACCTCATAACTATCTGGTAAGCATTAAAATTGTAGACCCATTTTCAAAGAGGAAGTCAAAAATCTTCTTAAGGTACTTGGTCTCTTTTCAAAAACCTGGGCTGGATCTTAGATATTTGCATTTTGATTTGAAATCACATGCAGAGTATTAATGCATATGTTTGAGCTGTGAACTAACTATTATACCCTGAACCAGTAAGAGTAGAAAAAATTCCCAGACTGGCCACTTGAAGTTACCTGTACATTACAGAGCAAGTGGAACCATTGATTTGTCACATGACTCAACTGGGAAAAGCAGTCTGGTGGTTAGGCTGTTTGACTTTGTGATTCAGTAGATATTATCAACACCTTTCCTAGAAGATATAGTAAATGTAAAATACTGATGCTGACTATGCCAAAAGGCAGAAACTATGAATACTGTTTTACTACAGAAGAATCCAGCCCAAGTCCCTTATGTAAATATATGTGCAGGGGAAATGATGTCACTTGTAGTGAGGCAACCCAGAATCCAAGCAAGAAGCTACAGTGGTGCCTCGCACAACGAGTGCCACACACAACGATAAATTCACACAACGATGGCTTTTCCTGAAAAATTTGCCGCCTCACACAACGATGTTTCCTATGGGGAATTTTTGCACAACGATGTCCCTTTTTGCTCCTGTAAAAGTGTCTTAAACTGTTTGAAAAGTGTTTTAAATGCTTGCTATCGTTAGCCCACCTCCTGAAACCTATGCAAACTTAATCTGGTGTTGTTCTGAGGCGTCCTTAATTTTGGTGATTTTTTGTTTTCTCCATTGAAAGCCATTGGACCAAGTTTGCATAGGTTTCAGGAGGTGGGCTAACGATAGCAAGCATTTAAAACACTTTTCAAACAGTTTAAGGCACTTTTACAGGAGCGAAAAGGGACTTCGCAAACCCATTCAAATGCATTGAGTCGGCTTCAATGCATTTCAATTGGGGAACCGCGTTTCCCTCAACAATGTTTCCTATGGGGATTTTCGCTTAAGGACGGCAATCCGTTCCAATTGGAACGGATTAACCGGTTTTCAATTCATTCCTATGGGAAATGGTGTTTCACAGAACGATGTTTCACAGAACGTTTTTTTTTTTTTTGGAACCAATTAACATCATTATGCGAGGCACCACTGTATTTCATAAGAAGCTTCTAAATAGTGCCCTCACTGCAATCCTGTATTTCATAAGAAGCTTCTAAATAGTGCCCTCACTGCAATCCTATATTTTATAAGAAGCTTCTAAATAGTGCCCTCACTGCAATCCTAGCAGACACTCAAAATCTAAGCAATGAGTTCCCTGCTTGGATTCCAGGTCATGTGACTGCAGGTTACATTATTTCCCCTATGCCTTGTATGTAGAGGATCTGTGCCTCTATTACACTACTAGTAATTTAAGCAGTAACAAGATAATGCAACTGGGCTGTTTACACACATCATACATGCTTTTACATTGTATGTGCACATGTTTAGATGTTTATAAGAATCTGTTTACATGCATTTATGCCTGCCTTGTTCACATGTGTGAACATCCTACTTAATTCAAGATACAGATCATGCACATATCTGTAACTGTTCAGAATGAAAACAATTACAGCTGTGCAAATGGACGAACACATTACAATTTTTGTAATCTTGAAAATGAAGCCCCTTACAAGATGCCCTGAAGAGCTATAGTGAGAAATCCACAGAAGCTTTTCTGAGAGGTGATTCTGAGGAAGGCTGATATATGTGAGAGCAAGTTTAGTGAGACTACAGCAAAGGTAGAGGAGAGTATTGTGACCTTATGCCCTCACATGAAATTCATCCAGAACCAGCAGCTCTAAACTGTTCAGTCAGGAAGTGACTGGCTGCCGCCTACAATTACCTTCCTGCCCAGGGCTCCATAGGAGCAGGCAGGCCTGAGAGATCTACTTCTTCACCAGCACATAACTGATTTATTGCACTCTATCTCCCTATCTTATTTCTATATAAACAGCTTGACTTTCTCACTACGTTGTTAAACTCCATTCTCCATCATTCCCCACCAGTCTGGCCAGTGGTAAGGTATGAAGGGAATAATAGTTTAACAACCTCTGGAGGCCCACCAGTTCCACACTCTTGATTATAAAATTTCTTTAAATTGTATATTTATCCAAAGTGTTCAAATAATATACACTCATCTCCCAATTGCTAAATAAACCTGAACAGTATTGTCCATTAGTGTTTCTGATGGGCTGATTAAAAACACACACACACAACCAAACATTATATATTTATAATATTTTAGATAGAAGTAGTAATTGTACTAAAGAGCACAATCCTATGTAAGCTCCACTGAAAAGACTTGGAAATATTTCTGTGTAAGCAAGGCAAACAGCAGTACCTGTACTGCTTGACCTTAAAAAAAAACCCAAACCACTTACAGTGGTGCCTCGACTTACGAATGTCCCTACTTACGACCATTTCAACTTACAACCGGAGCTTCCACTTACAAACGACCAGTTCCGGCCGCAAAATTTTGATTCAACTTGCAGCCGGAGCTTCCAGTTACGAACAGAAAAAGGCAGGGGGAAAGGGTGCGAAATTCTAATTGCTAACTGTAGATGGCAACGAGGCTGCTTCTTTGTAGCTCTTTTACCCCAGCAGTTAGAGAGTGTGCAATTGGAGGAGGCTGCCTGGTAAAGTAAGATGCTGCTTTATGCTTTCAAAAAACTGTTCTGGGTGTTTTTGCAGCGTGGTTTCAGGCTGGTGGGAGTAATGTTTCTGCACTGCGATGGGTCTTGGGAGTTGTTTGTTTTTTGTTCCCCCCAATTTCTGATGGGTCTTGGGCAGCTTGGTTGCTTTTTGGATTGTCTTTTCCCATTTCTGATGTGTCTTGGGGGGGTTGGTTGCTTTTGGGCTCCCCCCCATTTTTGATGGGTCATGCATGCTTCCCTTACTTTTTCCTTTTTTTCATTTCTGATCTGCTCCATTTGTTTTCTTTGCATTTCTGACCTGCTCCCTTTGTTTTCTGTGCATTTCCGATGGGTCTTGCACGCTTGATTGCTTTTCTCTCCCCCCCCCCCCTTTGGCCAGAAGTTTCCAATGAGACTTGAAGTGATTTTTTTCCCTTTGGTGATTTTTTTCTTTGGCCGGAATGGATTAATGGTGTTTCAATGTATTCCTATGGGAAATGGTACTTCGCCTTCTGACCATTTCGAGTTACGCTCATCTTCCAGAACCAATTAAGTCCATAAGTCGAGGCACCACTGTACTTTGTATCACCAAATTTCTTTTTTCTACTCTTTATTAACCAAAAAGTCTGAATGTTTGGGTTATCGTATACTATCACATATTCCTTTAGGGCTGTGGTTCTCAACCTTGGGTAATCCAGGTGTTCTTGGACTGCAATTTCTAGAACCCTTCACCATTAACTCTACTGGCTGGGGTTTCTGGGAGTTACAGTCCAAGAACACCTGGGTTACCAACGTTTGGGAACTATTGCTCTAGGTGATTGCATGCACTTTGAAGGAGAAAAAGATACTTGGATATACCGTATTTTTCCATGTACTGTATAAGACAATACTTTTGTCTAATATCTTTAGACTAAAAATTGAGGGTCATCTTATACATGGAAGTAAGCTGAGAAAAGAACAAAAACAAGTGGAAGGGAAAGCAGGGCTCAAAGCGATCCTGCAGCGTGTTGATACCTGCTTTCCCCCTCCACTTGCTAAGCCGTAGCGAAAGGAGGGGAAGGCAAGGATCAAAGCGATCCTGTGGCACTTTGATCCATCCCCCCCACTTGCTAAGCTCCACTTATATTTCTTAATTTTGGGTAAGAAGTGGGAGATGTCTTATACACTGAAAAATATTCAGAAGCCACTGTAAGAATACAGTGGTGCCTCGCATAGCGATCGCTCCGTATAGCAATGAAATTGCTTTGCGATGGACTTTTTGTCATCTCAAGAGCGATCGCTTTGCGATGGCCCCTATGGGGAAATTTTGCTTTGCGATGATCGCAGGGAAGCGATCATCGCAAAGCCCCCATTTTCAGCCAGCTGATCGGTGGTTCCAAAATGGCCGCCGGGTAAACAAAATGGCCGCCCGCTGTTTTGCCTCGCTTTAGAGGCACTGAAAATGGCCGCCGCAATGGAGGATTTTCGCATAAGGTTAGTTTTTAAGCCCATAGGAACACATTACACACGTTTTAATGCGTTTCTATGGGCTTTTTAAAATCGCTTAGTGATGAAATTGCTTAGCAGCGATTTTTGCTGCACCCATTAACATTGCTAAGCAAGGCACCACTGTACATGTATATTTCATTATGTTGGATCATATTATAACCAATATATACATACAGGGCTTTAAAATTTTTAGAATGTTTCACCAGTCAGTCAAAAATTTCACCAGTCAGCATGACAGGACTATAGCCTTGCACTTTATATTGAAACTTAAATTTAAATTTAAATTAGGCACTTTCTACATAACAATGCGTACAAACCCAAAATAAATATACCCTCAGACTTGAGTTGCTTTATTACCTGCGTGCCTGTGGGGTCATGAAGTTTGTATTTTGAATGCCTTTCTTTTGAATGTCTCCAGCAAAAATAAAACTAAAAGCAAAAGTGCCCAGTTGTTTGGTTGAAATTGGCAGCAGGGAATCTCCATATTCTCCATCCTGGGACTACTCTACATTTTCCTGCAGAACTATATATCTATGTGCTGCTTGAACTCTCTTCTCACGAGAAGAGGGCTGCTTTTCCTTTTGCAATGGGAAGGGAGGATTGCAGGATCAGAGAGAGAGAGATAGCGCGCGCGAGAGAGAGAGAGACGGACTGAGGGTAAAGAAGCAAGGAGGGGCGGAGGGAGCTGTGGCTTGTCAAGCAGCATTTTTCACTATATATATTAGCCAGCACTTTTCCAAAGCTGCAAGGATGGCAAAGAATTTAAGCTATACTCCCTGTCACCAATAACAATAGGCAAAGTCTTAGCACCAAACAGTGTAGTATTATGGTTGTAGGTTTTTCGGGCTGTTTGGCTGTGTTCTAGAGACTTGGGACATTTCATAAACAAGATCAGCACCCTAAAACTCAACCCCAGGGACAGACTGATCAACTTTGACATAGTAATCCTATTTACCAAGGTACCAATAAAGGACACTCTGACACTCATCCAGCAAATCTTTCCAGAAGACATCAAGTGCCCTTTTCTAACACTGCCTAATGACCAGCTACATTCAGTGGGATAATGATCTCTATGAACAGACAGATGGAGTGCCCGTGGGGAGCCCCCTCAGCTTGGTTATAGCAAACTCCAGAACACGGCCAAATAGCCCAAAAAACCTACAACAACCATTAGATTCTGGCCGTGAAAGTCTTCGAGAATACAGTGGTGCCTTGCATTACGTTAATTTGTTCCAGCGAAATCGCTGTAGAACGAAAACGTCGTAAAGCGAAAATAAAAAAGCCATTGAAACACATTAAAACCTGGTTAATGCGTTCCAATCGGCTGAGAACTCACCGTCCAGCAAAGATCCTCCATAGGGGCCGCCATTTTCGGGTGCCTGTGCAGCGAAAAATGGCTCCTAAACACAGTGGGGAGCCATTTTGAGCACCCGGTGGCCATTTTGAAAACCCAACGATCAGCTGTTTTGATCGTCGGGAAGCGAAAAGCTGTTCCCGAAACAGGGAACCGATCATCGCACAGCGAAATTCCCCCATTCAAAACGTCATTTTGTGATCCTTTTGCGATCCAAAAAACCTCATCGGAATGCGGATTTGTCGTTAAATGGAGCACCCGTCTTGCGAGGCACCGCTGAACAGGGTACTGTAACATTATTCTGTACCCAAAGAAGCTGAAGGACCAATAAGGCTCAAAGCCAGAAAAATGAAGCCTCTTTGTGCTAATAAGAAAATAAAATATCTCAGAAATTTCAAAACTTTGTAAAGAACCTAACATGTTAGCTATTCAAATATGTATATTAAGAAAAATATCTGCCCCGAATTTTTTTTAAGTGCCTTTCTGTTATTTTCTGGAAAACTCTGTAATTGATAAAAACCAAATATATTCTTTCAAACTCTCACTATTTCAGTTGTTTAGGCACTTAAAAACACAAAATATCAAAAAGAGGGACACGTTTTTCTTAGAGTGTATATAATTCCCACAAAGACACAAATACCCAGATTGCTCTTCTTGATCCCCTGGACAGCAGAGAAAACTACAGAGTAGTGGAATTATATCTTGCTGTTATGATGTTAAACAGTCAGCAGAGGTTCATATGGGCTTATCATAATTAAACCTCTGAAGGTTAGATCATTTAAATTCAGACTATTAACAGAACAAGAGTTTCCTGCTATAATCATTGCAGAAGAAACCTTGAAAATATGATCAACAGCATTTATGAAGTAGAACTGCTATGGTTGTTTATCAAAAGAGAATATTTCAATAGTATCAAGATTTTGATAACTTTTTACTCGTACAACTAACATTGCTTATCTTTGCTGTTTAGTTGTTCAGTCGTGTCTGACTCTTTGTGACCCCATAGACCAGAGCACGCCAGGCCCTCCTGTCTTCCACTGCCTTCCAGAGTTTGGTCAAATTCATGTTGGTAGGTTCAAGGAAACAATGCTTCTCTACCTATTTACCAATCAAGTGGGGAGGGGGATGCACATGAATGTGAATTAGCCCCATCACAGAAGCAAGGTGTTTCTGTAAATCTCATTTGAAAATACTGCATAAGGATTAAATATTTGAAAATGAGTTTTAAACAATTATCAAAAAGTATGCAAGTATGATGTAAAAAGACTGCCTGTTAACAAACTGCTCTTCAGGTAGGAATTTAGATGAACTTTTTAGCAAATGACTGCCTTACATAATTGATTTTGCACACTGGCAACACTACAAGAGAAGCAGTGTACCTTCAAGAGCTAACAACAGCTGAATACAGAAACAAATAGGCTTTACCTTTAGATACCAGCCAAGGAAATGAGCAGGAACAAATCCATCTAGTTTGTCCTATAATTCAAGCAGAAGAATTAGGTTACACAGGTTAAAAATTTTAAAAAGTAAAGTAAATCCCAAAAATTGTTTACAATGATTACTGGAACTTAGACTACTGTGGGTGCCCCATATAATTTTCTCATAAAGTTCATAAAATATTTCAGACATTAAAAAAAGAAAACAAAATGCCATTAAAAATTAAATTAAGGGATAAGACTTTTTATTGGTGGGAAGTAATATAAAAAAGGAAGGGGAAAATATTTTCCTATAGTCCAAAGAGGTGCCAATGCTATATAAAGGGAAGTGTTCAAATCTGATATTTTAGATGTTCACTTTGGAATTTAGTTAGAGGTTAGAATACTGCTGCACTGCTATGCAAAAGGCACTACTTTTGGAGGCAAATTGGCTCAAATTAAGAAATCCCTGTAGACATTGTGTGATGCAGATTTTCATACTGGATATAGAAAAGCTTGCCTCAAAAGTATTGAAAAATTCATAGTTCAATTTTCTTTGTTTCAGCAGGCAAATGTTTCTAGCTTCAAAACACTATGGCAGACATGAACTTCAGGAGTAACACAAGATGGGTGTAGATTTCCTTTAGTACATCTTTGATGGGCAAAGAGCAATTAGATCATTTAACCCTACTTCTAAAATGCATTGCTAGGTTACAGAGAAATGGATAGTGTGATCTGGTCAGTACAAAGGTTAATTGGTGATTGTGAGCTGCAAATGTATACTCTGTATTACAGAACAAATTTAAGAATATCTACATCAAACATCCTCTATAAATCAACTAGGCATAATTCGCACCATTAGGCTTCTTTTTCACAATCTGTTCTACTTGCAGATAGCCAAAGGAAACAGACAAAATGCTATGCAAGTTACTGAAGCTTTAGTATCTGAGCCCTGAAAACCTTACTTAGCAACTCCTCTGGCTTCTAGTATTTCACCCTCATGGACATTCCTTATTTCTGTTGTTGGCGTGAAAGCTAAGAAACAATTTAGCTTATTTATTTGTAAGTAACTGGAAATACTTAGTGATTTACAAGTGAAAGCATGGGATTATATTAACTAGGGTGCGACAAATCGACAGGTTACCCACCTGTAATTATAGTTCTTCAAGTGGAGCTCTCTGATTCACACCCTGGGTGATTCATGCCTGCACGGAGCCTCATCAGAAGATTCTAGAGCTTCTGCAGTAGCAATCAACACATTAGAATATGCCCCTTCCCAACTGTGTAAATACATTGGTGCCAAGCATCCCCTTTCAGTTGTGTCAACCGCTGCTTAATAGTAAGCAAACAATGGCATGATAGAAGAGAGGACGGGTGGGATGTGTGAATCACACAGGTCGACTCGAAGAATTACAATTACAGGTGGGTAACCTGTCTTCTTCATGGCCTCTGTGAACCACACTCCAGGTGACTAATAAGCTGTCTTACTTGGAGGCAGGGTGTCATGCCAAGGTAGAGGCTAGAACAGCATGTCCAAATGTCGCATCAGACTTCTGCCGGAGGTCGAGTCTATAATGACGGATAAATGTGGACGGCTGTGCCCAAGTGGCAGAGATGCAGATGTCCGGAAGAAGTATGCCCCGAAGAAAGGCTGTACAGGCTGCCACTGCCCTGAGGACAAACCACTCTAGAGGTTGGTTGTCGAGCAAGTTGATAAGCCAAATGAATGGTAGAGGTGACTGTTACATACAGCACTGATGTTACCTGTCTGTCATGGGTTTGGAGGGAAAGTTCCATCCTATGGGGGAGTGGAAGGCGGGACATCAGGAGGAGGGGCTGTACTGTATATATATGTGGAGCTTGTGTGGAGAAGTTA